GGGAGGTCATTCTGCCCCTCTGCTCTGCTCTGGTAAGAGCCCACCTGGAACACTGTGTTCAGCTTTTGAGTCCTCAACACAAGAAGGACATGGAGCTGCTGGAGTGGGTCCAGAGGAGGGCCACGAAGATGATCTGAGGGCTGGAGCACCTCTGCTATGGAGACAGGCTGAGAGAGGTGTGACTGTTCAGCCTGGAGAAGAGAAGGCTCCGGGGTGATCTTCTAGCAGCTTTCCAGTACTTAAAGGGGCCTACAGGAAAGCTGGAGAGGGACTTTTTACAAGGAGATGTAGTGATAGGACAAGGGGCAATGGCTTTAAACTGAAAGAGGGCAGATTTAGATTAGAGATAAGGAAGAATTTTTTTACTCTGCGGGTGGTGAAACACTGGAACAGGTTGCCCAGAGAATTTGTAGCTGCCCCATCGCTGGAAGTGTTCAAGGCTGTGTTGGATGGAGCTTTGGGCAACCTGGTGTAGTGGAAGGGGTCCCTGCAGGACATGCCAGGGGGTTGGAACTAGATGGTCTCTAAGGTCCCTTCCAACCCAAACCATTCTATGATTTTATGATTATTGCGTCTTAGATTCTGCCTGTCCCATAATGTTAGAACTTCACAGTGTAGTAATGAAACTAATTTGACTGTTTAAACAAAGATTCTTCAGGATAAATGAACTCTCCCTCCCTATGCAAGAAAAATTTAACTTTTCAGTTTTTGTAGGGGTAGGTGCTAGGGAGGGTTGCATAGTAGCGAAGCAAAACGTTTGACTCCGAGCTATCCACCTCTGTGTTAGTAAACTGACTCAAAAGTGTTCCCAAGAGAAAGAAAATGTTTCATTTAATTTGAACATCAGTACTCATGATCGTGTCTTTAAGAGATCCGTTAGATTAAAAAAAAAAAAAAAGCAGATTTTTACAGTTGTGACTGTTAACTGCTCTCCTTCAATCAAGAAGAAAGAGATGAAAGCAGACACTTCCTCTTTCAGAATCTTGGTTTGGAAGTTTCTCCTTGGGCTTTCTGTTTTCATAGTGCTTTCTCTCCAGAAATGTAAGTGTAGAAACTCCGAATTGAGGTTTACTCTGGCATTGGTTCTATTCTTCCACTGGCCTGAGTGCCAGAGCTCGGGGGTAAAAAGAGCAAAGTTCTGCTGAGGTGCCAGTGTCAGTGGTGAGCCTAATTTTCCAAGGTCTGAAGATCTCCGTTTCTGGAACTTCAATGTGCTCTGAATATATGAAGACTATAAAACACTTCCTTGGATAACTACCATGGACAATTCTTATTGTCTTATTTTTCACCTTCTCACATGTCTTAACTCCACTTCCTGGACATCAGCAACTAGTGGTGTCTATGATTTGAACTGAAATCTGAGAATAAGGTCCCCCTGAAATATATTTCACATTTGATATTCCACTGTCAGGGCCACTGTTTGATGAATTAAACTTGATGGTGACCTTCCTTTTATGTTCTTTGCTAATGCTGCCCAGAAAAAAACTTGTACTAGCAAAAACTGTTTCCAGCTTTCTGCTGGAATGCATAAAATCTTACCTGCCCCTCAGGAATTGGATCCTCTCGGGCTGAAGTGCCTGTGAAGAGTGTTGTGTAGTTGGATAGTCACACTGTCTGCAGGCTTTAATGCTTTGGGATGGACTGAAGGCCATGAAGTTCTTTCAGATGTTCTAAGGTCTTCACTCAAATGGTATCACCCAGATACATAGCCTTCTTAGGCAGCAGAAGAGAGCAGAGGGAAAAGTGAAACCCCAACACTTCAGGAACAAGCGTAGCATGGTGAGGGGTAGAATGGGGGTGCTGTGTTGACTCTGTCTTGCAGTAGCGAACTTTGGATTTCTGTGATGCCTTTTTAAAAGTCTCTGTATTAGAACTGCTTAAAACCCAGCGCTGCCATTTCACTGGTTGATTGCACCTCTACTCTGTTCCAGGTGTACTTGCACATCCAAAAGCCTTTTAAGCCTTGAAACCTTTATCCCGTAGCTAGAAAGTAGAACTGTCTGGTTTTAATAAGAAACTGCATCAATCTGCATAGTGACTTTGATCTGCAAAGGATCCAGTCTGCATTCTGAGGAAGCTGTGTTCATGTTCACCACTGGAGAACTATCTCTAGTTTCAAAACATTGAAATGCTGGTGATGTTAATTCTAGTGTCTCGTGCCTTTTTGGGAACTTGAGTTGAATGCCACAGTAGTCTCCCCTCCCCTTCCAAACTTTTTTTATTTGCAACATTTATTAGCAGTTTTGAAATGTAGCTAAGAACTTAGGTTTTATTTCCTTCTGAAAGCTTTTATTTACTTTTATATGCTTCCGTTCAGTTTGTTTTCCACCTTATTTTCTATCACATCTGTTCTCGTCTCTATTTGGTAGGGTGGCGGTAGGCGTAAATCCCAGTTCACCAGCATCTAACTTCCAGCAAAGCATGCAGTGAATGCTGTGGTGACTGGCTTCCTTCTGGTCAGTGGTCAGTGATTCGCTACTGACTGCTGCAGCTTTGCTAAACCATAATACTTGCAGTCACCTGTACACTGGTGGGTCAATTTTAAGAGATTATAGGCCATTCCAAGTAGGAATTACATCAGGTAGTCGTGTACAGATGTTGGCTGCTATGACCTTGTGTTAGTGACAAGACTATGTAAACTCTCAAATCATGAAACCAGTAGTCTGAAAGGGGTTAAGAGGTAAATCCATCTGAACTGTATCTGTTCTACCAACCCAATTTGAAAGGTCTTGCTTAATGAGTTATGCTTCTGATTTTGCTGTTCCTCCAGTGTTTTCCAATGAGACTTTTCTGTCTTCCTCCCTAATGTAGGTTCATGGCGATGCTGCGTTCTCTGGGCAAGGGATTGTTCCTGAAACACTGACCCTTTCTAATCTACCACATTTCCGAGTTGGTGGGAGCATTCATTTGATTGTTAATAACCAGCTGGGCTATACCACTCCTCCAGAGCGAGGGAGGTCATCTCTGTACTGCAGTGATATTGGTAGGTATAGTTGAATCAGAAGGAAAATTGCCTCTTGTGTCAGAAAGGATTTTTAACTCCACTGTGGATATATGCTATATATGGGCTTTTTTTAGCAAGTGCCTATTGGCTCTAGGGAATTAAATTAATATATCTCCATTTTCATGATAGAGTCGAAATTAAAATTATTATTGATTATTACCTCCTACTAGCAAAATTAAAATGCTAAAAATATGCCCTCTGCTGTCTGCCTTATGGCGAGGACCTCATATCAAGGGAAAATCTTACCACATTTTTACAGGATGTTATAAAATATTTGCAAGATTACTGTGAAGTCTTTATAACTCATTTCATTTTTGCCATGTCGTTGACAGCTTTTAAAAATGTATTGTGATGGAGTGTATGATTGATGTATTTTAAATATATCTTGTTAAATTTAATCAAAATCATTCCAGTGTGTTTTCTGAGAAAGATTTGTAAGTCAGATACTCCTTCGTTTTTCTGTTTTGTGTATTTTTCAGGTGAGCTTGTGGAGCTTTTAATTGAAAGATGAAGCTTATGCCATTCCTAAGCTTAAACTAGAAGTCTTTTGTTTTAGACTGATCTTTCTTAGTGATAAACAGATGTGTTATACTCAGCAAGATCAGAGACACAGTAGTTAGTTCTCTTGTGTATGTTTCCTAGATATAAAAATATACTAATATATGTTTTTAAGAGGTAACATCAAGTATTTGTGTTTGTCTTATGACTTCATCAAACCAAACAGGTAGATTCATTAAATCTGATAAGGTAGATAGCATATGCTATTATTACTTTGTCCCTGGGCTGGTTTTGTGCTGTGGTTTGGGTTTTTTTGTTGGGTTTTGTTTTTTTTTTTATCTCCTCCGTCCTTAGTTTTCCTTTCTTCTTACCTGGTCAGTGAGGTGGGGAGAGGGTTGTTACCCATTTGAGCTTCAGGATTTTGCTAGAGAGGGAAACTTGAGGCAGGTCAGGAATGGGTGAAGCATCTTAATTTCCCAGAATTTGGGCAGATGTAGTACAAGAGGAGCACTCTGCTGGGAAGATTTGCAGCCAAATTGTCATACATGAGAGCATGTTACGACGTTTGAATTTTGCAGTGTTCTCTTTAATGAAGAGACCTTTTTGTCTGGAGGAGCAATGGATAGAATGACTACTAACGAGGGAGAAGATTGTTTCTGGCCTGTATGAATTCACCGTAGTGACAGCTTAGGAAAAGAAGGAAATAAAACTCAGTTTTTTGTTTGAAAGAGAAATGATCAAATACTTCTCTCCCATTGCCCTCAGACTTCCATCCAGATTAATAAGAGGTATAAACTGTGAATAGAAAGTCCTCTGGGAATTTAGTGCTGGTAAAGAAGTTGTGCTCAAACTGAGACAAATACAACAGGTTGAGCTAATTGCACATTCTCTTGGGGAAGACTCCTACTCCTTACTCCAGCTCTCATCACAAAGAGCATCTTTTGTAGATTTGTTTTTGTTAAAGACACTTCACACGAGTTGTCTGTAGTTTTCAGCAGAGTAGATTAGTGTCTGATTTCTTTGGAAGGGATTGAGTGTGATTATTGTTGTGTTTTGAATCCCTGGGCAGGTAAAATCGTTGGATGTGCAGTTATCCATGTGAACGGAGATGACCCTGAAGAAGTTGTCCGTGCCACACGACTGGCTGTTGAGTACCAACGCCAGTTCCGCAGGGATGTAATAGTAGACTTGCTGTGCTACAGGCAGTGGGGCCACAATGAGCTTGATGAGCCGTTCTTCACCAACCCCAGCATGTACAAAATCATCAGGTAAGGGTGACAGCTGATGGAGGAACCCAAAACGTACTTGTGTCTACATCAACTCAATGCTGCCTGCTGCTGTAGTAGGAGTCTCTGTATAATGAAGATCCTTTGCTATACAGACAAGTCTTTATGTAAGTGTAGCTGCGCGGTCAGCAGGCCTCGACTAACGTGTGAGTCTGGTAATGATGGGTTAATGAAGGTAACCACTCGTGTTGGTTCTTGAATATACAGCTTGATGCCTCTTGGAGGCCAATCCTGCACATAGCCCTTGGATTTCAAATTCATGATGGCTAGTAATCAGAAGGTAAAGTTGTCTTCTGTGTGCCAGAGGGAAGCGCAGATAATATGGGAGAAGGGCAAGAAGCCATTATGACGTTTGTCTCATCTTTGACTGGTCCTTCTGGTTCCAAAGGGACTCATCTTCATGAGCATTTAAATGTATTCAGGTTCCATCTTTATCCTCAAAGAAAAATACGTGTAAAAAATTACTGGACAGTAAATTCTGGTATTTTAGGTGAAGCATTTAGGGAGTGGATGGCTGGATTCTCAGCTAATACTGAAATCCTGCTGTCAATTTGTGTGAAGAAAATATGCATGATAGCACAGAGTCGGTCTAACTGGGAGGGGTTAAGTTTTTTGACTAACTGGAGGGGTCAAGTTTTTTGACTTGGTTTTACCTGTAACTGCCAACTACAGGCACTTCTTTTTTTTTAATGAAGAAGGGTAAAGCACATGTCCAAGAGAATTGTTATCTTTCTGGAAATGCCAGGAAGGCAAACTTGATGCAAGTGAGTATAGTGCACGAGGACATCATTTATTTAAGCTTTCTATGGTACCTGACAGTAGTAAGGTGGTATTTCCTTGATCTGCAGTGACACTGTTTTCAAGCTTAATGTTTGTGGGGTTTGATTCCCTCCCTGACAGATCCCGTAAGAGTATCCCAGACACGTATGCGGAACACCTAATAGCTGCTGGGCTCATGACTGAGGTTGAAGTATCTGAGATAAAGACGACTTACTATTCTAAACTGAACGATCATCTTGCCAACATGACTTTGTATAGTCCACCTCCTACCAACCTGCAGGCTCACTGGAAAGGCTTCGTCGAGCCTTCGGCTAAAATCACCACTTGGGACACAGGTATGCCTGTACCACTTCTCCAGTTTATTGGAGTGAAGTCTGTAGAGGTGCCTGAGGAACTCCAGATGCACAGCCATCTTCTGAAGACCTACGCACAGGTCAGTAGGGCGTAATGAGGTCTCATTGCTCAAAGATGTGACTCGTTAGAGAAAAAGCTCTAAACACAGCAAGGCTGCCGGTTAGAGAATAGCATAGTGTTGTCTAGGAAAAACAGCTTGCTCTCTTTTTTGAGGCTGAGATTATGCCATTTTTCCTCCAGTTTTTAAGAAAGGTGTGTCCTCTCCTCCAAATGTGACCATAGACTTAATTTTGTTATTTCAACAATATTTTGTTGTAATGAAGAAAAAAGCTGATAGAAAATATAGTTTATTATTCTTACAAATAATAGCAACTATTATGATAAATTACTATCATTTATGTATTTTATGATTATAATGAGTACTTTGTGAGAGAATGAATCAAGACCTTGGTAGTACACAGTTTGTAAAGCCAGTAGTGAGTGTTTATGTTTTTTTATGTATATAAACATAAGCATATATGTGTGGCCAAGCTTGACAGTCAGTTTTTGTTAGCTCATGAGTTTGTGTGCAATAATTGGATTGGTTTGGGTTTGTGAACGTTTCCCTTTGATGAATGATCACCATGCGCAGGTGTCTGGCTGGCAGCCATAGAGAGGCCAGGAGTTGAACGTTTCAGAAGAGGATGTTCTTGCCTTCCCAGCCCAAGGCAAGAACACCACAGCTGGGTATGATCATTTGACCAGACAGGGGAGAATTCTGGACACTGAAATACTTACACCTGATGTCTTTTGTCACTGCTAACCAGACAACCCAAAAGTCTGTCAAGAGCACGCTCTGTGCTGTGCTAAAGTTTTTAATATTTTTAGACCAAGATCTAATTTGTCAATCCACAATTTGTTGACTGGTAAGTGAATATGTGGGTCATCCATGGTTCTGTGGTCTGAAGGGCAACCTTTTTTGGAATGTGCTGAAATGAGAGTGCATATATTCCAAACCAACCCAAGCTGGCTTCAGGAATATAGCATTTCTCTCTATAGTGGTTTTGTTTTTCTAGCTTCTAATATTGATCTGTGCCACAAAAAGAGATATAGGTGGGAAAAGGCAAAGTAGTAACTGTTCCTTGTTTACTCATTTAGTCAAGAATTCAAAAAATGGAGGAAGGAAAAAAGCTGGACTGGGCAACAGCTGAAGCTTTAGCGTTTGGTTCCCTCCTGAGCCAAGGTAAGAGGCAACTAGATAGCAGACAATAGAATATTTTTGCCTTGATGACAATGAAGTATAACATCAGTCGTCTTAGGTGTTTCTAAGTCCAAAGATTGATATGATATGCAAATTTGACAATTTGCATTTGCATGGTACTGAGAGAAGGTAAATATGAGTCCTGTACATCACTAATGTTTGTAGATTCGATACTAAATGTCTTCAAAGAATTGTTGTTCCCTCTCATTCCCCAGAACAGTTGGTGCTTAGCAGTAAGCACGTGAGCAACGCAGCTGCCATCAGTGACGTCTCCTGTACACTTAGCTTTTAGAGTGTTTCAAGCTACAATTTCTTTTCCCTCTTCTCTAGCCTGAATTCTTATCTCCATTTACATATGATACAGAATGAACATGTTTTGCAGTTTGCTTCAGTAAAACTGAACCATTTACTACAAAATAATTCTTGGCTGCAGAGAGAAAAAAAAAAAAAGAAATGTCTGAGCATCTCTGTGCTTGTGAGTAGGAGCTGCTGCTGATTAAGAGTTCTGTCTCAGATTCGATGCTGCTGATGAGGGGAAATTCAAGAAGAAACTTAACAAGAGAAGTAGTATTTTAGAAGTGGGGAGGAGTTGTCCTGCATGTTTTCTTCTTACATGACTTGCTAATCTAGTATTTTGTTTATTGCCTGGCAAGGGTTTAATATTAGGCTAAGTGGACAAGATGTTGGCAGAGGAACCTTTAGCCAACGACATGCGATGTTGGTTTGCCAAGAGACGGATGATACCTACATTCCTCTGAATCATATGTCTCCAGACCAGAAAGGTTTCCTAGAGGTAGGTTCTGTGGTCCACAACACAACCTTCTTCAAGTTGTGGTGAAACAGAATGCATATTGTAAAACTGCTGAAACGTGTAGGTAGCCTGTGTGTTCTGGCAAACTCCAGATAGAAAACTGTCAGGGCACCCCCATTCTTTGTAGTTACCTTCTTTACAAATTTAACAAGGGGTTTTGCTCTTCCTTGAGAGATCAGCTGTTAATTGTTTTCCTCTCAATGTTGTCATTCAAAAGAAAAAAAAAAAAGGTGACCATCCATTGCCTTTAGGAGTGCATGTCTTGAGTGTGCCTAGTGCTGATGTGTCTGGTTCCAAAGGTTCTTAACTCTGGGTTGTCTTCTTCCTCACCCACCCCTCCCAACAATTTCCTTTTTGTTAGGTGAGTAACAGTCCCTTGTCTGAAGAAGCAGTGCTTGGTTTTGAATATGGAATGAGTATTGAGAGCCCTAAGTTACTGCCAATTTGGGAAGCTCAATTTGGAGACTTCTTTAATGGAGCCCAGATAATATTTGACACTTTCATCTCTGGAGGTGAGTGTACAAGGAGCTAATATATTTAAAAATGAATAATTTGTAGGAAGTATATTTTTAGAAAATCCTTCATCTTTAGAAGGCAACGTGTTGAGAAAATAATTCTGTTTTCTCAAGAAGTCTTGCGAGCTTGCCTATGTGGTCCTGACTTCTAGGCAGCTTTTCTCTGAACACAATCCACCTAAGATGAAAGGCACCTCACCCTTGGCGTTCCAAAATGACAGTTGATTGTACTATTGGCCTTTCTTTCCCCCCTAGGTGTTTATTTTGCTGTGTATATATATAGTTGATAGCTTTTTTAGGCTGTACCTTTCCTTTGTGAGGCATTT